GCATTAATGTTCCCACTAATTTTTCCATCCATGTGTGGAATCAATTTTGTTATGTGCATGAGGTATGTGCGGATGTGCACCACCAGTAGATATACATGCTGCACACTGTGGGCACTGTGCTAATCAGCTGGGCAGCATTTAAATCATTCCAGGGTGGCCACCCAAGCACACAGCATGCAGGGAATACAGGGCTGCACCAGTTTATCTAAATCAGTGCAACATCCTATGCTAGTCAAGCCAGTGCTTGTGTATGCTTGTGTGCAGAGCAAGCCTCAGTGGCTCCTTTATGGGCATGAGTTGGTGCCTGAAACCCACAGTAGGCGTGGAGGGGGTGATTGGTACCTGCTGGGGTGGGGTTAGCGTTAATGATGGCTACTGCAGCCCCTCACTGTTCTCCTCCTGGGGTGGTGAAGCGCTAGAGGAGAGGGGAGCTCTTCCAAACCACCAGCAAAGTTCCAGGGAGCCCTTGGTGCCAGGTCTTGCCCTCTCTCATCCCTCTGCGATCTCCCCCGGTCTCTGGGCCCTGCCAGCCCCGCTGCTCTGTCGCTGAGTCGCTTGGTCTGTGACGTGGGAGAGCTCAAACCGAGCCACAAGCGGGAGAGCCATAAAAACAACCCAGTTTTGTGCCACTCCAGCTCTTTCCCATGTGGCTCTAGAGCAGGGTTTCCCAACCTATGGGTCGCCAGGTGTCTCCCCAGGTGGCTCTCAAGGAGCCATTCACACATTTTTTGAATTGCCTTGGGTCACCAAGTCTTCCTGAATTGTCAAAATGGTCCCCATCTGGAAAAGGTTAGGAACCGCTGCTCTGGAGAAGGGAGGGGGGGAACCTGTTGTGGGTAGAGGGCCACTGACCCACAGAAAAATCAGTCGGGGGCCACACGCAAGTGAGAAACAAACAAACAAAATCCCCTCAGTGATGCACGGCTTGTGACTGAGAAGGGGACAGACACTTCCCACGTTCCCTCACACCAGAGTCTGGGGGGGCCCATGGTGGGACAGTGGGGGTCTGGGGTGCCGGAGCGGGCTCCTCAATGTTGGGGAGGAGCCCTGAGCCTCAGGGGCCACATCCAACCCCTGGTCCTGCGGTTCCCCACCCCTACTCTGGGCCAGGCTGGTACATTTCCCATGCCTCTAATTGCCTGTCCTGTCTGACTGCAGGAGAGAAGGATGGAGGGTCCATCTACACCATGGCTTGCTCTTCTCTAGAGGCCAATGTGTGATGGTGCTTTTGATAGAAAAGAAATTGTTCCTCCCCCATGTAGGCCCCTGCATAAGTGCACAGCATTAGCCTGGGATAGAGATTTCTTCACTCACGTACTCCAGCTGATGATCACTCTGTTTCCTGTAGCATCAGGATCAACAGTCCTGGGATAGTCTTTGTCCCAGCTGGTGTCACTGCACATGCTCTTCTTCTTCAGATGAATGTCTAACCCTTAGTGGAATCTTCCTATGCTACTTTATTCTATAATATCCTGCAACAGCAAGTTCCACAGATTAACAGTGTCTTCTTTTAGCTGTTAAATATGTTGCCCTTCAGCTTGAATGAATTAATGCGCATTGGAGGGAATTATTTGAATGAATCACGCCTGTTGCTGGGCTTTAAATGAACTGTAGCGGCTCAGGAAAAAGTCATGCATGTCGCTGTGGACAGCTCTGAGAGGTCTGGCTGTCAGCAGAAGCAAATCAAGTGGCCAGGTGCAGAGGGAGAGGGCTAGGAGACAATGAAGCATAATAATACTGCAAGGACTAGGACGCCTCAGGGTAAATGAGCACTGGCGTGTCAGATGGAATGTGTTTTCAGTTCTGGTCCCCAGAAGGAATCCAGCAGAGGGGAGAGGTGGCCCTTTGAGGGATGAAATGTAGTTCCGGTGTAGTGAATTGTACTTTCAGGAGCAGGGATTCTCTCCCTGGGTGTTCTCAGCCTATTGGCATTGGTGACCCCATGCCTGAAGTAAAAACTGCCCCTGCCAGCTCCAGCGCTATGGAAGCTGGTGACCCACCTGCCTGTCTTCAGCTGATGCCAGCTCCAGCCCTGACCCCAGGGGGCCATGACGGATGGGTTGAAAACCACTGCTCTAGATGTGTTAAGAGAAGGAACGTGGGGCTTGCCTATGTACCCGGATGTAAAAACTGTTGGTGGTCCCCTTCCATCTCTTACATTGGCTACAAAAGTGAGTCTCAAAGACAGCAATGCTAAGCTAACTCACGGTGTGTGTAACAGAGGCTTCCAGAGAAATCTTGACCATGAAGGGTCTGTAGAGCAGGGTTTCCCAACCTATGGGTCGCCAGGTGTCTCCCCAGGTGGCTCTCAAGGAGCCATTCACACATTTTTTGAATTGCCTTGGGTCACCAAGTCTTCCTGAATTGTCAAAATGGTCCCCATCTGGAAAAGGTTAGGAACCGCTGCTCTGGAGAAGGGAGGGGGGGAACCTGTTGTGGGTAGAGGGCCACTGACCCACAGAAAAATCAGTCGGGGGCCACACGCAAGTGAGAAACAAACAAACAAAATCCCCTCAGTGATGCACGGCTTGTGACTGAGAAGGGGACAGACACTTCCCACGTTCCCTCACACCAGAGTCTGGGGGGGCCCATGGTGGGACAGTGGGGGTCTGGGGTGCCGGAGCGGGCTCCTCAATGTTGGGGAGGAGCCCTGAGCCTCAGGGGCCACATCCAACCCCTGGTCCTGCGGTTCCCCACCCCTACTCTGGGCCAGGCTGGTACATTTCCCATGCCTCTAATTGCCTGTCCTGTCTGACTGCAGGAGAGAAGGATGGAGGGTCCATCTACACCATGGCTTGCTCTTCTCTAGAGGCCAATGTGTGATGGTGCTTTTGATAGAAAAGAAATTGTTCCTCCCCCATGTAGGCCCCTGCATAAGTGCACAGCATTAGCCTGGGATAGAGATTTCTTCACTCACGTACTCCAGCTGATGATCACTCTGTTTCCTGTAGCATCAGGATCAACAGTCCTGGGATAGTCTTTGTCCCAGCTGGTGTCACTGCACATGCTCTTCTTCTTCAGATGAATGTCTAACCCTTAGTGGAATCTTCCTATGCTACTTTATTCTATAATATCCTGCAACAGCAAGTTCCACAGATTAACAGTGTCTTCTTTTAGCTGTTAAATATGTTGCCCTTCAGCTTGAATGAATTAATGCGCATTGGAGGGAATTATTTGAATGAATCACGCCTGTTGCTGGGCTTTAAATGAACTGTAGCGGCTCAGGAAAAAGTCATGCATGTCGCTGTGGACAGCTCTGAGAGGTCTGGCTGTCAGCAGAAGCAAATCAAGTGGCCAGGTGCAGAGGGAGAGGGCTAGGAGACAATGAAGCATAATAATACTGCAAGGACTAGGACGCCTCAGGGTAAATGAGCACTGGCGTGTCAGATGGAATGTGTTTTCAGTTCTGGTCCCCAGAAGGAATCCAGCAGAGGGGAGAGGTGGCCCTTTGAGGGATGAAATGTAGTTCCGGTGTAGTGAATTGTACTTTCAGGAGCAGGGATTCTCTCCCTGGGTGTTCTCAGCCTATTGGCATTGGTGACCCCATGCCTGAAGTAAAAACTGCCCCTGCCAGCTCCAGCGCTATGGAAGCTGGTGACCCACCTGCCTGTCTTCAGCTGATGCCAGCTCCAGCCCTGACCCCAGGGGGCCATGACGGATGGGTTGAAAACCACTGCTCTAGATGTGTTAAGAGAAGGAACGTGGGGCTTGCCTATGTACCCGGATGTAAAAACTGTTGGTGGTCCCCTTCCATCTCTTACATTGGCTACAAAAGTGAGTCTCAAAGACAGCAATGCTAAGCTAACTCACGGTGTGTGTAACAGAGGCTTCCAGAGAAATCTTGACCATGAAGGGTCTGGATCAACATTCTCTCTAATCTTTTCCATCCATTTGTGGATGTTTCCATCCATGTGTAGAATACATTAAATTGGCATGTGCAACTGTGCACCACCAATAGAAACACAAAACCTAGCTGAGGGTGCTCTGCTAATCAGCTGGGCAGCATTTGAATTTCTCCCAAGTGCACAGGGAACACAGCTCTGGATGTGCCAAGTATGGGGGAGCTTCATGCTGTAATGAAATTGTCAGTGCCGTGTAACACACTTCCCTGCCCCTGCCAGCTCCAGCCCTGTGGAAGCTGGTGACCCACCTGCCTATCTTCAGCTGATGCCAGCTCCAGCCCTGTACCCAGGGGGCCATGACGGATGGGTTGAAAACCACTGCTCTAGATGTGTTAAGAGAAGGCAGGCGGGGCTTGCCTATGTACCCTGCCTGCTGGCACAAGAACATGGGGCTGGCTGCTGACAACTGAATGCAGATTGTTCAGAACTGACTAAAGGACACACTTTTCAACCCATTGAACCCGGAGACCTTGCTGCTGTGAGGGGTTGCTGAGGCCTGGAGCTTAGCACAATTCAAATCCGGGTTAGACCTTTCTAGAGACAATCCAAGCATCAATGGTTGAGACAACATAAAAACTAGGGCTGTGGAGGTTTAACCAGTTAACTGGAAAGTCTCACCCTTAATGGGTGTGGCTTACTGGTTAAGGTTAACTTGTGGGGCTGGAGCAGCTCCCTGCCTGCCACTGGTGGGGGGCAGTTCCAGCCCAGCGGTGGGCGGGGGGATGACTCCAGCCTAGGTGGAGCACCCTGCACCCCAGCTTGCCCCACCTTAATTGGTTAACTGGTTAAACTTATCCCTAATAAAAATGCCTCCTTCAGGCCCAGAGCCAAGCAGCTGGGGTCAGGCAGGCACTTGGTGGGGAGGGGGGGAAGGTGTTCCATAAATGTCCACTAGGGGGCTTCTTTCATGGGCCACTGGCCTAATGCCACAACCCCTGTGGTGGGGTGAGGTGCTTCGGAAGGTCTGGGGGGCTTTTTCCAGGAAGCTCAGCTGTGTCCCTGCCCCTGCTACCCCCATCCCATTGCTTTGCTGAGACATGAGCCCCCCTTGCCTGTCCCAGCCTAGCATCAGCCCCTCCCTCTTGTTGTGTCTTGCAGGCTCCCACGATGCGACGGTGGATCCTGTTTCTCGCTGTGCTGCTAGCTCCGGCACCAGCCCTGGCCCAAAAGAGAAACCAAGGTTGGTGGGGTCAGAGCTCTCCAAGGGGTGTACGTGAGTTAGGGGCTGGGGCCGCTGGAGGCTTTGCAGGAAACACTGCCTGGCCCCAGAGGGCATTTGTCCCACACAGTCAGCTGGATGAGTAAATTCAGGCTGTTCCCACCTCCTCACCTCAAACCGGCCTGTGCCCGGCAACATGATACCAGGTGTCTCCTCCCAGCACGGACTGGCTGGCAGGCTGCCTGGGCAGTTCTGAGCCGTGGCCATGCTGAATTGTGTGGGCTAGAAGGTGGGGTGGCTGCAGGGGAGGGGATGGACACGGATTTTGTCGAGGGGCTCATGGTTCCCCAAGTCCCACATGGGCCTGACAGAGCACTGGCGGTGCAGGGCAGTGATCCAGGGTAGGGGTACACTGCTCTCCTGCTGCCTCCAGGCTGCCTCTGTGCTGCTGGCTCTGTGGCTGGGACATCTGCCTGGAGCTGGGCTGGTTGCTGTGTGGAGTTGTTGGGGGAGGGTGTTACAAATCTGCTGCTCTCCGCAGTTCTCAGGCTCATATCCCGCTGGTATCCCTGTTGGCCTCTT